CAGATGAATACTACTAAATGAGATCTTTCATTTGAGGTACAACAAAAGGGGTAGTGCCATTTGACATTTTAAAGTTGGGGTGTGTCGCGCCTAAGGGGTGACTCACCCCTTTACTGAAATATGGTGGTTCTAGTTCCCCCTAACTCTATAACATTTGTGCCAAACGGCGTTTCTCCAACTTCTTTATTTTGCGTGATATTCGCATTGAAAGTTTTCAAATTGACACCCTGTATAGTTGCAACGGCCCTGATTGTCGTAGTATAAAGTATAAACGCAACACATAACGTAAGTCCAAATTAATTGCTTTCGAAAATATACATCTGGCTTTATCTTCAAACAAGTAAATGGAATGAATATACCTATTCGATCGATTGGCTGGCTGTATCGGCTATTACAAACAACACCAATTCGAATTAGATACTGAAATTGTTGCGTTTAACATTACGAATGAACTGCCGATTAGATAGGGTAGAATAATTTTGAAATAACCATGCACCCGTATGGGTTTGATCCGTTTTATATAAATTCGAGACAATATTATCTGTAACTGAAATTGAGTCAGAATTTCATTATGTTTAATTTAATAATAACAACTCGTAGAATTAATTTTAACAACATATTTCGTGCTTCATCCGATTATCGTGCTACCTTTCTAAAATTAGTATTTTATTATCACAATTTCGACTTGAATTGTTATTTTTGGATATACCAGTAGAGCAATCTAATTTGAAACAGAAAAAACTGATTTAAGGAACGTATCCACTGTTTACAAAATTACATAATTTCCTGAATGAAATTGCTCGAAGCTCATGGCATAAATGTGTAGAGCGTATAGACGTAAAAATACGAAGGGATAGAGCAACAACCTTTAGCTGCATAAAACATTGTATAAAATTGTTCCAATCACGCAACCTCAACATTTAACAAATTATCAAAATAATGGCGTTTAGCCAATTTACAAAATTTCTTACTGTAACTAAACACGTTTTGCAGAAACAATTACACTGAAAAAAAAAATATAATCCAACACAGTGTTGGATTTAGGGGGGGCAAACTTAAGATGCGGAAAAATCAGGTCCCATAAATTGCGATAGATATGTTTATTAATCATTTATTTTGAATAAGTACGCCCATAAAAATAGACAGAAAACCAATAACATGCAGTGAGTAACAATCTAAAAAGTCGCCATGATTAGTAGGAAAAGTTGCTACTTTGTCGCTACAGCTTTTTTTGAGATCTTGAGGTCAGAAAACTGTCAATATTAAATAAAAAAAAAAATTTGTAGAACAAAGCAAAATAATCTTTATTACAGGTAAACAAAGAATAAAAATTTAACAGAAAAAATCTAAAATTAAAAAAGGTTTTAATCTGATTTACTGTCTGAATCTGAACATAATTTCTCTCTTTTGGTTTTTTCATGTATCTATATATATTTCTTCATTTTTTGAGAAATGTTTCTCGCCGCTTTCATAACTTAACAATCTCTTTTTTTTTTCAAGTCCAACTAAAAACCCTTCAACTCTTTTTTTGTCTTTACATCTAACTGGGCATACACAAAACGATATCTGTCGTTGGCTACACTTTCCTTAATCACGTATTCTTCAGGATAGGAGAATACATGTTGATGATAGGTTAAGGAAAGTGTAACCCGCCGTGTATGCCGCGTAACAGAAATCTAACATATTTGAAAATACTCTTTCTACATCTGCGTTTCCATAAGGGATAATAATAATTATTGTATAAAACATGTATGAAAATATTGATATTTTTCTATGAATACCGACATTTTTTCATCTGTTAAAAGTCGCCAAAAATAGACTTTTTATTGAAAATCGCCGTCGCACTGTCATAGAAACAAAAAGTCTTCATTTTGGCGAATTGTCACCCTAAATAGCAACACTGATAACATGCATCAAAAGTAAAACCACAAGGAGCAAATAAGGTAGTTGCATACTAGGACAGAACCAGCTCAAACATTTTATATCGATAAAAAAAATTTATAGAAACATAAACAGCCAGGAATTTTATTTAATTTATTATTTTACATGTTAATACAGAGTGTATCACATGAGCGATTCCTTATGATGAAAGTGGGTCATATCTTTTTTTTTAACAAAACTTTTTAGGAACTTTTATTAGAAGTTATAAGCATAATTTTCATGTAAAATTATTGTACTTATTAAAACTTAATAATTAAATATGTATTTGAAACTTCTTTCAAATGTGCCAGTAGCCAAATTTGCAAGTACGAATAATAAACAAAATAGGGGGTGGCTTGGATCAGTGGTTACAGTCATGCCTCGCCGGTGACAGAGATTTGTATTTAATTTAATATATTAAATATTAATTCTAATGCATAGGTAGAATTCCCCACCGACCCTTCACTGCTGGCTTCTAATTAACAGTGCTTTTTCTAAAATGACGCTGGGAAACAGTACACAAGGCTAATCACTTAAGTAGTTGATGCCGATGACAAAAAAAAACTTATTAAAAAGAACAAACTCAAAGTAAATGTTCTACGCCTTTTCCAATTGGTTTTGTTAAATGACTTTCTGACATTAAAAAAATGTTAGCAGCACCTTTATTTTTTCCCAGAGTTCATTTCGTAAAGAATTTTCATATGAAAACCAGCGAGTTGTAATCAGTAATATTTTAACTTTAACACCCTGTATATTTTTCCACAGCAACATTTCATTAAGGCATGTTCCATGCAATTCTCGTATTTTGGTCCAAATAACTTGTGCCCACTCTATATTCCAATAGTTATGACTCACCCCGTACACATATACCTGTTTTGTATAGTTTCTATTTGTTTGATCAAAATTCCTGTCTCATATTTACACACCTATCGCAATATTAATGACTTTGTAAATAGTAGATGATTGCGAATATACGAGCATAAATTAATTCCAGACGTCAATAATTCCTGCTAGGTCGAACACTCTTGCGGAATTTCAAATATTCCGTATCTCTTACTAATAAGATATAAAGCATGCATCTCTACAGGGTCAGCCAGAGATAACGAGGAGATATAACTACTAACAAATATGGTGCGGTCCTGAATAAGACATATTATAAGGGACACAGACGGGTATAATATCCGCTGTTGTTATATGCCTATTTCATTATTCTCGTTTTGTTTACAAAATTATTTAAATATATTAAAAAATCTAAAATAATTCAACCTATTTTATTGCAACTGAACCCAAAAAATTTTGAATCATTAGTTATATTAAATTTAACTAAATTAGATGTAATTTCAAAACCTAATGATGTTAGGTTGGAAGTGCCAACACCGTATTTACGTTGTTTATTATAAGAGCACAGCGGCTTACACATTTATTCATTGAAACAAATAAGTTGTATTTGCGTAAAATTCTTCTCTTTATCCCTTCTCTTACTTCTCACCTTTCGTCGCCTCGCCTCGCCTCGTCCCTACAAATGATGAATGACATGGGTGATTGTGTTTTTAGAAAGTTTTTTAATAAAAATTTAACATTTTTAATTAATATTATTAAACCTAAATACCTATTTAATACTGTACAATAATATTAATTTATGTAGTATTGAATATATGTATATGTATCCCCTTTTTGTCAAGATTTATCTCTATTATGGCAACTTTTATCTTTCATGTCCTATAAACCAATTAATTTTTCTACATCCATATTTGAAATTCACATTTCGCATTTAAATTCGTCCGAAAACAAAAACTGAATTGAAAGATCTCTTATTCTGACGATTTCGTGCGGGTTTTGACGAACATTTCGCTCGTAATATAACCACAACTATTTATTGCTGTGTATTTGATTTTTCGTGAGTGTTCTGGCGAGTTCATCCACTATAATCATCGGCTTATTCGTGTAAACTAACGCATGCGCCTGTCGCTTACGATATTTTCCACATTATAGCGTCAGTCTTTAACGTGCGTCGCGGTATAGTTAAATAATATAATCCAAGTAACATTAAAAATACCTTAAACTTCACGAAATCCCTAAAATGCTTCTACGAAATATCTTAAGCGACCTTTATTTAACCCAATATGTATAGTTTTTAGCAATTAGTCCTAATATAATGGCTTATTATTTCTAGTAATACATAATTCGATATTGATATAAAATATCTCCAAAAAAGCGGAAATAAATAGTTTTTTGTGTTTCCTGTAAAATTACTTAAATGGTGCATACGATACTTTGCCTGGGCAAAGACGATATATCTCTATCACTTTTAAGTAATTCATAGTTTTTGTATGAAACTTTTGTTATATGTTACACTCACACAGTGTGTAACAGTCAAATGGAATAAATTCAGTAGCTCAATTACTGTGCATATTTATAAAAAATATATATATCCTGGTCAAGCAAACCCATAAGTTCCAAATCGGTGGATAGGGAGGCGTGGATCCATAGAATGGCCAGTACGATCACCTGATCTTACGTCATTATACTTTTTTATTGGAATATATGAAAAATATACCACTGAGAACTAAACCACGCGATTCAGCTGATTTAAGAAGAATAAGAACGTTTGCCGATTAGGTACGCCGCTCAGCCTCAGATGTTGATTAACGTAAAAAAATGATATGTCACTTTGTACGCTCAACGTAAACGACACAAAAATTTGACATATCCTCTAAAAAATGGAGATTACAATCCCATTCATAATTATTATACATTCACTCGTTTCAAAGAAAATACTTTGTTGACAGACTTTTGCACAACACTGTATAATTTTTATTATTGTAAAACATTTTAATGGGGAGAATTATTATTTTCTTTTTATTAGTAGATAGAAATTTTTACTACATAAATACTTGAAGAAAACTTTTTTCTAATCACAATTTAATTTCCGAAATGTTGGTAATTTCAAAAACACCTACATTTTTTATTTCTCATTACACATATATTCGAAAATATCGATGTAATTTATTCGAAATACATTTTAAAGCAGCAAAATGGGTGTGTAACATACAAAAACAATAATGTATTTTTTTTTGCAGATACTACAAGAAGTCTTCTGCATAGAAAAAGCTCGTTGGCTTTGACTCCAGAGGAGGAACCATTAGAACTGAATGTAAGTACTAACTACTCTTTTACTTTTTGCCTCATTCTTAAATACAGGTTTACAATAATATTGGGACCATCACAGAAATAAAACTGAGCTGACAAATTGGACTTAAGGGCGTTCTCGGATTTTTGGTGTTATCGGATTCCGAAACAAGACTGACAAAGAACTATGTTACCTTCTTTTTGATTTCTACGATGTCAATTGTACTTAAGAGGTGATTTAGCTCAAATTACTGATACTTCGTGGATTCATAAATTGCCCAGGATATTATAATACGATAACGACAAAAATGTTGAGCGCCACCAAGTTTTTGAGTAACTTGGAAAACTTATCTGATTTTATATGCCCTGTTTAATTGAGTCCGTCTCTAGTACTTAAAGTTATCTGTATGAGTTCTGGCAAATAAAAGAAAGTGAGAAAATTTAATACATTTAATAAAAAAAAAATAAAAAGAGTGAATTTATACAATATAAATTAATAATTAGTGAGTAAACGTGAAAAAAAAATGAATTAAAATGAAGTTGAATATGTATTTAATAGGTATAATAGTTTCGACCATTGGCATTCTAATATGGTACTTCCCTGTCGTATGTCGTGGACAATCCGCCTTTACTTAGATAATTGGAGCTTGGAGCTAGCACTTGGAGAAACTACGTAACTCTGAGCTTCTTGGAGAAACTACGTAACTCGAACTTGGAGCTTAAAGCTTGGACTTTAAAGCTTAGTTTCTTAGAGCTTAAAGCTTCTAGGAGCAACTACGTAACTCGGACTTCTTGGAGCTTAGATCTTAGAGCTTCCTGGAGCTTCTTGGAGCCCACTACAGGTTTAGAAATAGAAAGAACTTCAGTAACAGTAAACGTACATTTACATGCCAGTTTGGAAATCTAACGGACTTATGCATAAACGGGACAAATATTAAAGTTACATCGTCTGAACAGAATATAAAATATCACGACAAATATTAAAGTTACATCATCTGAACAGAATATAAAATATTTATAAGGCCAAAATAAGTTATAACAATAAGTTTTACATCATATAAACAAAATATAAGCTATTTATAAGGCCAAAATAAGTTAAGAGTTATAGATTTCTGTTTAAACTGTATTTCCAGACTGACTTGTAATTCAATTATTTAGTTGCCTCCCCGCGTATATATCAAAGTATCAAAGAAAGCTTAAAAATATTATTATTTAGGGTAGCTATGATCTATATAAAATAAAATAAAACATAAATAACTGGCATGATGGTAATAAAAAAATCAGATTGCCGATCCTTTCGGTTTTCCAACGAAATCCAGCAAAATGTTAAAAAATAAGGTGAAAGAAACATTACCTGATAATTATTCCAACGTTAACACACAATAAACACAGATAAAGGAAGATAACTACGGAAATCTACTCATAGTAGCTAATTATTTATCGGCACAAACTACCACATTGGACTCGATAAACCAAAAGGACGATTGAATCCACACGAATCGGTTTTATCTCGGCGTAGTTGTTCAAAGAAACACACGGTACTTGCGCAAACCGTACTTTGCAAATTTCAAGAAGGAAGCGAGCGGTGGTCGTTTAACTTGTGTTACGGGTTATGGAGAAGTACCTAGTTGTTAAAAATAAATTTGAAATTAATTTAAAATTAAGTTCACGTAACAACTACTTACTTTCATAAACAAACGAAATGTCCGTGCTTCTAAGAGAAGAAGATAATAAGTAGGGATTAGCTACATGCTTTAGACCCTAGCAAATATAGGGGAAAGTTGCGACAATAAACAAATTCAATGCTCCAAATATTTTTAATTTCCTTGTGAAGTGTTTTTATAAAGGTGAAAAAAGGAAAAAATGTTTAGTTAATTTTAATAACGGTAAACAATTTATTAGTAAATTAATTTATTAGGAAATTAAACAACTAATATTTATATACCAAGTCAATAAAGTGATTCTATATCGAACTAGTCTGCGATTATGAGCTGAGCAAGAGAACTGAGCGATGCGAGTAACAGGCGAGTTCAATAAAGACACTTTGCTAACGTGGTCCATACAAACTTTTATCGCCAACCGTAAATAATTATAATTAATAAAAAAGATATTATAACATCATATTTTATTATGACAAAGTAAACAGAAAAATAACAGTGAATACAAAACAAATAATTTCTGTCAGACGGTCATGGCTATGTTGATAAATATTAGCGGCAGATAAAATATTTTATTTTTACAGTGCGATAAAGTATTTGTTTACTTCTGCAAATTGCTATGTTAATGCATGGCTTTATTGATTGGTTGGCGATAAAAAACGTTTATTCCCTTAACCTACCTACATATCGACTTTTTGTTTTACAAAAACGACAAATAAAAAGACATTAGTACATAATTTTACAAAATGAAAATTGATTTTGAATACCAAATCAATTGGAGAACAATCCGAGCTTTAGATTGAATACCTATAATAAAATCTTCTTCAGCATGGCATAATATTATAATAATATATTTAATTTTAGCAAATATTGTACATTCAAAAAAATTACCTTCACACTTATATCAGGCTTAGGACTGTCAACATATTGTTGGCGTGTTTAAAATTTTTTTAGTTTTTATATTGGAGTTTTGTATTTTTTTGTGCTTTTAAATATTCTTATTTTTATTTTCTTGCAGAATAAGGACACTTGATTTCTATTATTGTCTTCTCATCAATTACTACATCAGGATTAGCTCCTAAATACAGATATTCCTTTAAAATATATAAGCCATATTCATTTATTGTTTAAAATCATCTTCAAATTGTCGTTTGAGTAGTTCTTCGTGGTCATTACCCTAATTTGTAGCTGCACTACTTTTAAATTGATTTAATATATTATTAACAAATTTTTAAGGGTTTGTTGTCTTCCGTTGCTTATAAATCGGGACGCTGTTAACCGGTATGATATTTTATCTCTCCATGTGGGATTTGAGGATTGTTCTGAGGATTATTAAGTTTAACTCAATTTCAATTATTAAACCGCACAAATAAACTACGAAAATAACATATATTACTCAACTATTGCAATAATTATTGTACTCTTCACACAGTAGTCTATGAAGAGTATTATGTGGTGACTCACCTGTTGTACGTTGTAGCAAAAACATGTATTATTTTTACAAATTTTTACAATTGCTATTAATGTTTTTACTTTTAACTAGACCTATTGGGGTTCGGTACCTTTACCGCCCCTAAATGTTCATTTATATTTGTTGTTAACAATTCTATATTTTATCTGACTAAGGGGTCTATTCTGTAATAATTCCTTTATATTTAACGGCCTTTAAAAATATTGGCGACCTTTAAAAATATGTTTGTATTCGTTAATTTACTTCTGTCATTATTTAAACAGATTTCTTTAAGATAGTCCTCTAATGTATTTTAAAGATCCGTTTAAATAATGACAGAAGTAAAGAAGAAAATATTTTTAAAGGCCGTTAAATATAAAGGAATTGTTACAGAATAGACCCCTAACTCTATGTGGAAGGTATCAATGATGGCTCTGAATATGGCTTTAGTAAGCTGAAAGCTTAGCCGAATTTTTTTAATAAAACTTTTAAATTTTTTACACACTTTTGTACCTTTTCCACTTTCATTCCCCTTAAAATAGTTCCTAAATATTTATTTTATTCTATCCCTAACGTTCTTAAGTTATAACCTGAAAATCAGAATTTTAGTTAGTACAAATTATCGGTACGAATTCTTCGACACTTTTTTTTTAAATCCATTTTACGTCATTTTTAATTACGGATTGATTAATTTCTGAATCAATTAGAAAAAGGTAATTTAATTTTCCAACATGAATTCTGGCCCATCATAACGTTATAACTTCCGAGTTATTCCCGGAATCCCTGCCTAATCCGGGCCATACCTGGAAAACGAAACAAAATGAAAATATTCACGGCGTTTTAACGTTATTTTACCGGGACGAGTTAGACAGATATGACGAAGAACAAGAGAATCAGTAGCGGTGAAATTTAGTATTTTGATGCCCTAAGCCATGCCTGTTCTCTCTTCATATTGCAAAATCACGAACCACCACTGCAGAGACTTAGAAAGAGTTTTTTATTTATTAATATCTGCCAACCCGATGGTATTTAATTTAAAACATGCTTTTTAATATTTTTCTTTTTAAGTGGGACTTCGGTTTTTAATTAACTATTTTCTTTGTAAAGCGGCCGGCGCAGTTTTCAAGATAAATTAATATCGTGGAGAAAAAAGGATTGATATTCGCAAGGGAATAAATTACGGTTTGTACGATTCAATGCGACTTTTTTAGACCTTAGTTGTTGTTATGTTGGAAATTGGGTGTTAATACACTGCGACCTAAAATATCTATTGTGTCCCCTTTTGTCGCTAATGCAGCATGGAAATGTCTCAATACCTATAACGACCCTTCCTATCTTAACTTTTTAAGGAAGTGTAGGATTTGGAGTGGCTTCAAGTAAAGTAAATCTCCCTCTCCTATTTGATATGCTCCTAGGTATAGTGCCCTTGGATTCTGGAGTGCTACCCATTCAGTTAAAATGTGAATGGAGGTTTCATCCTCCTCCTTACACAATTTGCATTCACTATCTTCTACGGCTATTAGTTTACTAAGGTATTCTTTGAGTCGGCAATGCCCAGTAAGGTTCCCTGTTACAATACGTCGCCTGTTCTTCCTCAGACAGGTACAGGCTTCCGATATTTTCTGTCTTAGCCTCAAGAGATTGTCCCAATTATCGGTTCTTCTACTGCCCAATTCATTTTTAATCTCTCCTAATAGTGTGTTACTGCTGATATCGCAGAACAGCTCAGGTCCCAGGGTGTTTGAATTTTAATTGAATGTTCGTACCATAATAGGTGATTTTAAATTAACAAAATTGGTAATAAATTAAAAATGAATTCAAAGGAATTACCTAAAATAACTCATAATATAAAAGAGTACTGGGTAAGAACGAACTCTAAGACCACGAAAAAGAGGAAAGCATTTATCAGTACAGCCT